CAAGACTCTGACCTTTCCGAATCAAACAATCGACGATTCCAACTGTTGAATATGATGGCCATCGCGACGTTACCACCACCACCTGCCGGCGACGACGCGCACACCTCAGACACTTCTGGCGGCCCGGGGTCGGATGCAGCAGCCACTGACCATGGTAGCGTCCCTCAGGACACCGACGCCGACGCGCCAGACGCACCAACAGGCGCGGGTATGCCTGACAACGGCGGCAACGGTAGCGCGGACGACTCCAACGCCGCGGAGAAAAGTTCGCCCGCGGTCGAGGAGGGCGGCACCGAGGAGAAGAACGTCGAGAATTCCCTGCCTGACGGTAAGGTCGGGGACACTGCAGACACACATGGCTCTAGGAGCCCTTCAATTTCGTCGCAGCCCGCGCCGAGCGTAGTGCTGGGAGGAGCGCACTTCCTCTCGATTGCAGAGTCCGACAGGATCTGCTTGCCGGGGGTCATCCCTTCGTCTACGACTTCGCTTTCTATGGGGACACCGGTCGTTCCTGTGAGCTGGGACGTCCCGCCCAGCTTTGATTCGGCGGCTGAGCGTCCCATCGTTAGAGTTCTGGCCTCAGAAACCTCCCTGCAGCGCGGGTCGAGGATGTACGACGGGTGCGGCGGTCGTTGAGCTCGGAGGACCTCGCCGACTTGGAGGGATTGCTGGGCTGTGACTCGTTAGATTTTCTACTCCAACTACACAATTACGCACCGACGACTCAGGAACGGGAGACGGAAGCTCGCTCTCCCCTCGTTCAGCGGGAGGTTGCTTCAATTTTGGCCCACTTCTCTCCAGAGCGTCTTGCGGAGCGCGTATACAACACTATGTCATTTATGAGACGCCTTCTTGCCAAGATTCAAGACCTTCAAGATCACCTTCAGCGTCTGGACGCGAACAAGACCTCGGACCACGCCCTCTGGCTCCAGGACACGAACCACGCTTTGGAACGTGAGTGGACAGCCATGTGCCAATACTGGCACCACCATGTCCAAGATGTTGAGCGTCGAAGCTCCGCGACGATGGCGGCCCGGACTCGTTTCTTCCGCAACGTGGAGGAGGGTATGAAACGTAAGGCTCAGACATTACAAGACGAGAACCCTCGACTCCGAACCGAGCTGCGGGCTGCGCAAGACGCCCAAGAATCCGCGGAGCGTCGTGCTGACGACAACGTATTGGATCCTGACGACTTGCTAGATTTCTTAATGCAGGATGAAAGTGGAGTCACGGTTATATCCAATTGGGAGCGCCTACAAGACATCTTCCGGCATTACGCCGAGGGCACTAAGCCTCCCAGTGCTTGGAACACTCAAATCAATGCGACTGCCATGGACAACGTACGTTACATGCCTCCAGAATACGTGAAGCCTGACCCGCGTCCGAGGAATCCTCGCGGTGGTGGTGGGTCTAGGCCCAAGCCGTCAACCCCAAAGCCGAGTAGAATTCTGGACCTGACGGGTAGCGGAGGGTCGAGGCCCTCCAACACGACGTCACGACCTTCCTGAACGCGGTCAACCTCTGGCACTAAACGTAAGGCGTCACCGCAACCTGATTCTAATCGCGGTGGCAGCTCCCGCAAGTTGAAGTTTGATGGCACGGAGGAGAGGCAGATGCGTCATAAGGAACACTGCCCCCGAGACGATCTCCCTTGCGACCCTGACGAGGACTCGGACTCAGCGATGGAGGCTGACGCACAGAAACGCATCCCAGATGGTCTACTCTGGGACGACCTTCGACAGGACGTTCGCATGTTGATGATCACAGGTCTCACGTACGAGGAAGCCCTGAAGTTGTTGCGCGGAGATGACCCTATTCGCCAACTGCTGCCTGGATATATGGTGCAGCTGATGATGGCTCAGATGATCGACTGGGGAACTCTGGATCTTACGCCCTGGAGCAAGTATGTGCTTGAGTCGAGCTATCTGGATGCCGAGAGAATCTGGACCGGGATTCGGGTCGTGGATGTTCGCGGGCTCGAGAAATGGCCTTCGTTGGACAAATGCGATCGGAAACTTCAGAAACTCAGAGATGTGGCTGCAGAGGTCGAAATGATCAACGGCGCCCTCTCCGAATTGTCAGACGACGAGACTCAGGACCCTTCTTTCTCTCTGAAACCTGGCGCGGAGGAGGCTGGCAACGCTCAAGAGGCCCGAGACGAGACTGAGGATCTAGATGATGGCGCGGACGAGGTACCGATGAACGTTACTGAGATTAGTCCAAAGACTACCAGTCAAGCGAGTTCTGGAACGCGACGCCCCTCACTAAACTCTGGCAAGGAATCCAAGGCAACATCTAGGGCTCCAGACATCAAGATCATCAAGGGAGTCAAGACGAACACCGGTCGCGCCAAAGGGGCGCGTCACCCCACAGACTTGGCCACTCGCGATTTTCAGTCTCTGAGCGAAGATGAGCTGCTGATCATCGAGGTCTGTGACCGGGACGTTACCAGCACCTTTCGAATCTTCGGGATCAAGATGAAGTTATCCGACAAGGTCCAGACCCTCGGCTTCCCAGATTATGAGCCACACAAACATGAGACCAAGTATCTCAAGGGTCGTTGGTCTATAGAGGCATGGGATGAGTTCTTGGGCGTCGTTCGAGTGAAAACGTCTGGAGCTGAAGAACGTTGTGGGACTACATCGAAGCGCAACTCCTCTGAGACAGGTGCATACGGCTCGGGCTTAGATCCCAGCGCGTGGGAGTCACGAGTCCTTGACTTTGTGCTCCCCTGGATTCAAATGTTCGAAGCCCGTTCCAAAGAGTTTTACTTCCACCGCGTCCGTGATCTGAACAAATGCGTGGGATCAGAGAATACTTGGAGTCCATGGAAGAACATGCAGAAGGCTGGTGGTATATACTACACTGGTTCACGATGTCCATGGAGGATGACTGAGCAAAGGAACTTCATCTGTGGCGTCGCAAGTGTCGGGAGACTCTGGTCCGGAACTTCCTTCTCCTAGTCCAACGTTTGGAGAAGATTGACAAGTTTCCCAAGACGCTCTGGTACGAGCCGGGTTTGTGGATCTTTCCCAACACTATATGCTACTGGATCTTCAAGTATCCCTCGGTGAATTTCCGAACTGTGTCAGGGGTTGCTGACTTGCGTGCCGAGTTCCTGGAACTGGACGAACGAGAACCTGCGCGTACACTCTGGGCAGATGCTGCGAGTGAAACTGCGCGTCTGCAACACGTACCCGAGGCGTTCGTCTCCAAACGTCTGCTCCCGAAAATCGAGCGGGCCAGAAACCTGCTGCCGATTCCAAGACCTTCCTCCACTCCGAAGCCAAGGACCACGAAGGAGCTATACGAGCTCCGTCTCGCCCAAGATGCTACATCAGCAGGCTCCAACTCGGACTGAATGTCTGACTCGAGGCCACTTAGTGCACTTCAGACTCGGCCTCCAGCGCCCGTGCATATCATAGCGTATCCGTCTAATCCAATAATCAAATGTTGATGTCTCACCTTGCTCCATTCTCAACAAAGTCACATTAAGGCGGGGCAGACTGCCCAACAAATCTCCATTCCATACATATCATTCAACCGAGCTCTGGAACCACATTGCCTTAGCCAGGTATTCACACGTAACCACTCAGTCACACGACTTCTCTGAAACGAGGCACATAATAGTTGGAACCAGACTCGACTCCTCAGGATCGGAGCCTATAACTCCACGTAACCATCATTCCCAGACTGCATGGCTGCGAAACGAGCTTTTGCACGTGCTGACTGGTTGAATTTATATAAAAGGGAGCCACAGTTCAATTGTGAGACGGGCAACCACTGAAGTTCGTCATATCCCTTCCACTTAATGAGATATTCGCGGATACGTTTCGCATTTCAGGTGCGTTTGGTCCATCTTAAATCCACAATTTCTTCCACTTCGTACTCCTCATGCACCGAATCTGAGTCCCAACTATCTTCCGGCAATAAAGCCGCATCAAAATCGTCTTCCTCTGAAACGTCAATCCTTAAAGATGGCCGTTTCGGAAACAAGGCGCGTGGTTTCAGACGACTAATGTGGACCCAGGGTTCTACACGATAGCCTGTGCCCTGAACCTTCTATTTCACCTTGAAATCGTCCCGGACCTGCTCAATCCTGAATGGTCCATGCCACAAGTAAGCCAATTTGCGACTCAGACCTGGCAGAACTTTCGGGATATACAGCCAGCCCGAGTCACCTACTTCGAAACCCGACTCGAGGTGATCCGATAGCACCTTCCACTTCTGAGTCTGAACCGCAGATCGCGTACGCTTGGCCCTCTTCTGGAGCTCCTCCACACAGACGTGGGCATAGCTGTAGTCTCGTTGCAATTTCCGACGCCATTCGTACGCGGTACGCTATCCAATCTAGTCGCATCGAAGGAGGTATTCATAGCAAGCATGAGCTTCTCTGCATGGTCATCCCAATCGGTTTGGTCGGGCTCTTTGACATACGCTCTGATACGGTGCATAATTGTCTGACCCGATCGTTCTTGTTGGCCATTGGCCTGAGGGCGATACGCGAGCGTTGCTTTCTGTTGGATACCCATCATCTCACTGAAACAGCGGAAGACCCGACTCATGAAGCGGGGATCTCTGTCATGGCGGATTTCAGAGCTTGCGCCATAGTTCCTGAACACAACCTCTTCGTAGGCTTCAGCACAGTCTTGGGCGGTAGTGCTACTCATGAGTTTACACATAACGTAGCCCGTACAAAAGTAGGAACGTATTCCCACGTTCCGACTTCGGGAGGACAAAATCCATGGACACTACTTCGAAAGGACCGGTCGGTTCAATATTCCCGGGAGGGGGTCCTGGATTCGGAGGTCGTCCCTTGGCGGACGCGCAATCCGTACATTCCTTGACAAACATTTCGACGTCTTGGAACATCCCGATCCAGAAAAACTCTGATCGCAGACGTTCATATGTCCTGGTGATACCTTGATGGCCACTCTGGAAGTCTTCGTGAGCGTGGTGTAGGATGTCCGATCGTATGGCTTCCGGTACAATCAGTCGAAGTTCAGAGCGCTTATCCCTAGGACGTTCCGGGGTAGGCGCAGCCAAACGATAGAGGACGTCTCTTGAGTCTAAAATATATCGGTCTGAACCCTTCGTAATTTTCTTGACTTCCCTCCGCGTATAGTTCAACAAGTCACCTTTCAGATAATCATTGAGCCTTTTTAGCCCTGGGACCTCATCCTGATGGACCTTAATCCGTCTCCAACGTTCGTCTGGATAATCAAGTGGCCGACTCGGGTCATCTAATTCGGCAACCTGTCTGGAACGACTTCGGGTTGTAACTATCTTCACGGGTGTCACTGGCTCAGGCGCGCTCGGGGCAGAGTCTGAAATGAGGTCACTTGGACGATCGCTCTTCAGACTCTGACTTGCGTCGTCTTTTCGCTCCGAGGTCTCCGGAGTCTTCATAATCTTCTCCGGGACCCTGGAGACAAATTTCAGATGCATCAGTTCATCTGCATCTTCCACTACCCATGCTTTCCCGAGTGCCAATGTAGGTAGTCTGCTGCCTGGTTGTAATCACGTTTGACGTGGACCAGCCGTACGGAGCCAAATTTCACTCTCAAGGCTTCATACTCAGCAAGTCGACGTTGCAGATTAGGCTGGTGGCAACCTATCAACCCTTGCGCTTGTTGGATTACGATCCTGGAATCGCCGACCACAACCACATCTCTGAAACCGCGGTCGGCAGCTAGCTCCAAACCTTTGATCAACCCGTGATACTCGACATCATTCACGGTCACATCATCCAAAGGGAATCCATGGGCGCTCAGGACATGCCAGCCAGGTAAACGCCACAGGATACACCCACAAATTTCTTGTCTAGTGGAGACCTTGGCTGCAAAGCTCAGAACGTATCCTTCGAAGTCTGAATCCAGCATTTCCACACTGATTGGCGGGGGTGCCTTGACTCGCCCCTTGGCCGGGATCAGGTTCTCAGCGACTTCGTCCAGATGCTCCCTGGGGGTAATACCTGCACCGAGGATAGCAGCTAATCCATCTTCATCGCGTTGCACACGGCGTAGTTCCAGAGCCCACTTCGACAATTCTAAACCCCACTTGAGGTGACGGCCGTCGGCGGAATTTGACTTAAATAACCGCTTCAGGACCGAGTACCGGGTATAGATTATGGTCGGTGTCTCTGAACCGTAGATGAGCAGGGGAATTGCTCTAAGACTCGCAGGATGACCAGCACCTCCTTCTCCACGATGTGGTATCTGAGTTCAGACTCGTTCAGAACCCGCCCTGTAAAGCGCACTGGTTGAATGATCCCCTCATGTTCCTGTCCGAGGACGGCACAAGCCGCCCAGGGGTTTGCATGTGGGATGATGACAAACGGCTTAGTACAATCTGGATGGCACAGCAGCGGCGTTGATGTGATCTTACGTTTCAGAATCTCGAACGCTTCCTTGGCCTTATCCAAATCATGTCCAGCACGAATGCGATCCTCATTCAGCTCGTAAAGCACAGCCGCGACAAGAGGTAAATCCTCGATAAACTTGTTGTAGTAATTCAAGCTTCCCAAGAACGACTGAACGCCCTTCAGAGTCGATGGGAAAGGTAAGTCTTGAACACTCTTGGCAATCTTCGGGGTAGCCCTGATACCTTCGGCACAGACTTCGTGAGACAGGTACGGTATAGCTTGTTTGCCGAACTCGCTTTTCGGAAGGCTGACTGAGATATTCCAGTATCAGAGTCGGAATAGCAGGGCATTCAGGTCTTCACAAAGTGTATCCCAGGTAGGCGCCCCATGAGCTATGTCGTCTATGTAGGAGCTTCGTCCCAGGACCGGTCCCATCTGTGTTGGGGTCGGAATATTTCGCCTGAATGCAGTCGCCTCCTTCATCAACTCTGGAAGTCTGAAACCACCTTCGCCTTGAGGATTTTCGATCGTCGGTCCTGTGTCTGGGACAGTTAACTCCAGAAATTCCAGGACATCTCGGTCGACCTTCGCCTCCTCCTCAGGTGGGAGCCGCACGAATCCCCATAGACAGTTGTTAATCACACTCTGGTACACCAACGGCGCGTTCTTGAGTCGCGTTCTTGAGTCCAAAAGACATCTGGATCCACTGGAAGTGTCCGAATGGGCAGACAAAGGCCGAAATCAATTTTGCCCGCTCTGTCATCTGAATCGCCCAGAAACCACTCGCCATATTCAGACTCATGAACCATGCCGCAGCGTTAAAGTCAGTCCGCAAGTCGTCAATCGGCGGTAGAGGGTATCGCGATTCTGATTAACCAGCCTATAATCAACGCACATTCTGATATCCTCTCCATTCTTCTTCAAAACGATCACGATCGGAGATGACCACTCCGATTCAGAATGTTCAATGAGTCCAGTCTCTAGGAGCTTCTTCAGCAGTTCGTAAACTTTCACCAGATATCTGGAGGCGATCTGTCGAGCACGCAGCGCTATCGGCGTCGCATCACCTACATCCAAATCACAAACGACTCCACGAGCTGGGGCCGGTGCGGCATTGCCATCACCTAAAAAGATGCGACGATGATAATTCAAGATCTTCCACATCTTGTCCTCCATCTCTGGGGTCGTGACGCCTGGTACACCAACGTCAGCTTTGTTGATGTCACACTCCGGGCTCAGTTCTTCTAAATCTGGAAACATAGTCAGATGATTACTCAACTGAGCCAAGAGCTCCGTCCCTTCTCGCAGATATACAGCTGGTTCCAGATCTAACTCTTCCACTGTCCCTCGCATGACACGCTCGTATTCTCGTTCCAGTCTTTGGACAGGAGTATCTGAGAGGTTCGAGGCGTCATCCATGGCGCTTGAGAAATCGTCCAATGCGCTTTCAAGGACATCCTCTAGTACGTCCTCCGAGTCGAATTCTGGAACGAACTCTGAAGCGTCGTTCGTTCCTGAGGCGAAATGATCCAGACTTAACGTCGGGTGACATTCTGGATCCCTTGCTCTTGAAACGGTGGTTAGATCTTCTCTCAGGTCCTCTGCGCTCCGGAGCCGCTCTGAATCCTCCGCACTCCCCGCAATCGCCCCAGTCGTAGACGGTTCTGAGTCCTCGTCTCGGACTCCAGGCTTGGCAGGTTGGTCAGAGGCACAGCTACACCGATCCCAAGCGCCGTATCCACAAGAGCTTGGGAAATCAACTTGGGTACCGACATCTCTAGTGTCCACTGCCCCGGTCCCTTCGGCGGATGTCGTCACCGAGACATCTGTCGGGCCATCTACCTATAAGGCACTTGCCTCCGGTTTTGGGGTGGCTCCACGTCGCGCAGCGAGGAAAACCTCTACAACCTCCGGTTGTTCCTGCAACTGTACCATCCTGACTTCCGCATCCTGAGACTTGGGGCGTACGAGGAGTTTGGTAGGCCATTGGTACTCTGGTCGTGGCACCGCGGGAGGGTCACGAAGTCGCATCAACTGCTCCAGGCGCTCAGCACGCATCCGGCCTTGACGCGACTCGGTACTCTCAAGAATAAGCCGTTGCAACTCCTTATTCCTGATCTTCCCTGGGCGGACAAATCCTGGCTCCTTCGGGAAGTGCCCGTACTCCACAATCCAAGCAAGGGCCGTCCGAGTGTCGATCCAGACATTCCTATCCGAAACGTTGACCACTCGGACCGGTGTAGCCCAGGACCGGACTCCAAACAGGATCTCTGTCATCCATCTCTTTCCTCCTCCGGCCCAGACTACTTCTCGCTGCGGGTTGGTCTGTCCATATTCAA